CATGGATAACATAGGTTCGATCCTTAGTATCCCATATGGTCCACCAAACCCACTAGGAGTGATCCCTGAATGCAGAGCCAATAGTAAAATCCTGAGAAGTGCCAGGTGTGGCACAAAAACCAAACCAGAAAAAAAAAATGGCAAATAATATGATGACAAGGATGTGAAGCAGAATGATCAAATGTTGCTTGTGGAAAGGTAAAATGATGCATTCACAGCGGAAAAAAAAAATCCAGAGTTCATTCAACATGCTAGACAGACTAGGAGGCTTGTAAACACCAGAGATGGATTGTGGCAAAATCTGAGTGGTGATATGACCCTACAGTTCCGGTTCGGGTGAAGCCCTCCCTGGCAGTTGTAGACTCCAAATTTCTTGTATGCTCACATGACAGGAATGTTGAAGGAGCTCCCCAGTCTCTTACAAGCACACTAATCCCATTCCTGAAGCATGCCAAATAGTGCCAGGGGTTACCAAAAGATGGGAGAGGCCAGACAGGAGTAGCCCCTAAAGCCTTTATAGGGAAAACCCCTGTCAAGAAGTTGTTACCAAATTTGTCTCCTGGAACTGATAGGATGCACTGCTACAGTTTGAAGACATTGTAGCACTTTGTTCAGAAGTTCCAAAAAGCTAATACAAATGGAGAGTATCTTTCTGAGAAACTGATACATTGTTTCTTAATAGGTTAAACAGAGATTAGCACATCACTGAGCAAAGGGACTCCTAGGTATTTACCCCCCCAAAAAAATAAAAACAAATACACATAAATTGCCATTGTGGCTTTGTTCATAATGACCTGAAACCAGAAACATCCCAAATATTCAGCAACTGGTAAATGAACAATATGAAAAGACTCACAGTAACTCAGTGATAAAAAAAAAAAAATGACCTGAGGCTAGAGTGATAATACACAGGGTCAGGAGTTTTGCCTTGCACATAGCCTAGCTGAGTTCGATCTCTAGTATCCCATATGGTGCCACCAAACAGCACGTAGTGATCCCAGAGTGAATGCAGAGCCAGAAGTAACACCTGAGCACTGCCAGGTATAGGTCTCCCCCCAAAAAAAACCCCATAAAATGAACTAATATTGGGTCCGAAAGAGTACAAGATGCAATGCACTTGCCCTGCATGCAGTCAACCCAGGATGAATCACCAGCAATACACAGTCCCCTAATCCCCGCCAGGAATGATATCTGAGCACAGTGAGGTGTGGCCCCAAAACAAAATAAAACCAAAAGTTAACTATTAATACAGAAACAAGAGATAAATCACTAAAAATCTTTACACAGTGAAAGCACAGAGCAGAAGTACATACAACATGCTTTCATTTATGTGAAATTCTAGAAAATCATCTATAGTGACAAAAAAACATGAGTTGATGAGTTAGCCAAGATGAGGCAAGAGATTAGTTACAAATCAGCAATAGAAAAACTTTTGATGGGGAGGAGCCCTTACCCAGTGGTGGTCAGGGGCTTCTGGAGCTGCTTGGAGGTTACTTCTTACAGTGCTAAGTGGATCATGCAGCACCAGGGATTGAATCTGGGCCTCTGCATGCAAAGCATGTACACTTGCCCTTTGAGTTATTACCCAGCAACAGGAAACTTGTGAAATGCTCTCTGTGTCAACTAAGTTGGTAATCTTGAAAGTCTATACATTTGTCAAACTTTATCAACCCAGACACACCAGAGATAGTATAACCGGGGAGTGTCTGGCCTTGCATGTAGCCAACCCTGATCTTCAGCAACACACATGATACCTTAAGCATCACTCACAAGTGATCCCCGAGCACAGAGCCAGAGCAAGCCCTGAGCATGGTCAGGCGTGCCTCCCCACAAAAAAAGGTAAAGGTAAAGGTAAAGGCCCTCCCGTTGATCGTCGATTTGCTCGAGCGGGCCCAGTAACGTCTCCATTGGAGACTTTGTTGTTACTGTGTCTGGCATATCAGTACTCTCGGTAGCTTGCCGGGCTCTCCGAGAGGGGCGGAGGAATCGAACTCGGGTCGGCCATGTTGGCCGCGTGTAAGGCGAACGCCCTACCGCTGTGCTATCGCTTCAGTCCCCACAAAAAAATAAATAAATAAATAAAAATAAAGACATAAAATCTGATCAACCCATATACAATAAATGGGTACAAATTCAGGTATACAAATTATACCTCAGTGCAGTTAATAAGGGGGAAAAAATCCATAACTGAACACTGTGGATTTAAATTTTTAACTGAGATGCCCATCATTTGTTTTCATAATACTCCATAAGATTTCCCATAGATAAATTCTACATAAAGATCAAATAAATGTTTGAAAGGAAGGAGAGACAATGTACTCTGTTCATTTAATGTGTTTCATAAGCATAAACTGGGAAAAGAACTGTGGAGTCAGGAAAACCTGATTCTGAGTCCCAGTTCAGAGCAATCAAGTTATCTTGGACAAGTCGTGACACTGTCAAGCTGGGTCTCCCCATCCACAAAATGTGGATACAGTAACACCACCTCACAGGCAGTGATCACAATCTCAACAGAGAAAAACCTCCTTTAGTACAGGGATTCTAGTTTAGCCAAAGACCCAGCATCTAGCAAATAAGAGATGTTACACTAATCTTTGTAAGTTTGTATCTTTAAATATAAAGCAGAAAGCTGTGACCGTGCACAATGTTACTGGTTAATATTTCTTTCTTGGCATTGTTGAGATGTGCAAAAGAAGTTTTCCCCACTTGGAATCTTTGATACACAAGCCCCCCCACACACAAGATCTTATATTTTAAATACAGAAGGCACTGCCTAAGAGAAACCCACAGGGAACACTCTAAATTCTATGTAATTAGCAAGTACTCAAGTACTGCTTTATTGACCACTGCTCCTCACTTCCTAACACAGAGCAAGCAACAGACAGGATCTGACTAGAACAATAGTACGGCAAGTAGGGCGTTTGCCCTGCATGTGGCAGGCCCTGGTTCCATCCCCAGCACCCCATATGGTCCCCAGAGCACCACCAGGAGTAATCCCTGAAGTCAGAGTCAGAAGTGAGGCCTGAGCACCATTGGGTCCCCCCCCCCCCAAAAAAGGAAGGTAAAGGTAAAAGGTAAAGGCCCTCCCCTTGATCGTCGATTTGCTCGAGCGGGCCCAGTAACGTCTCCATTGGAGACTTTGTTGTTACTGTGTTTGGCATATCGAATACGTCACAGGGAGCTTGCCAGGCTCTGCCGTGCAGGCGAGATACTCTCAGTAGCTTGCTGGGCTCTCCGAGAGGGGCGGAGGAATCGAACTCGGGTCAGCCGCTGGTAAGGCGAACGCCCTACCGCTGTGCTATCACTCCAGTAAAAAAGGAAAACAAAAACAAAAAACAAATTGAATCTGAACAGATCCTCTGACCAAATCAAGCTCAAGAAAGAGGGATTTTTAAGGGCAAAGGCGGGCTAAGGGGCAGAGAACTGGAGTCGTGTTGTGTTTAAGAAAGCTGTGTCCTTGTGGGCCAGTATATGGTAAGATATTATGGTTTTCTGGTGGTTTTGTTTTTTTCTATTTTTGGTTTTTGGTTTTGGGGCCACACCTGCTGGTGATCAGAGGTTACTCCTGGCTCTACAATCAGGAATTACTCCCAGTGATGCTTGGGGAATCATATGGGATACCAGGGATCAAACCCAGGTTGAAAAGGAGCAAGGCAAATGCCCTACCTATTGTACTATTGCTCCAGCCCCACATTATGTTTTTAAAACACTGTATTTCAGCTCTTCTTTTTTCAAAACCTCAAGCAAGGTCATCTACCTACAGAAAACCCAGCTCTCTCAGCTTCATGACTGCAGAGAAGGGACTGAGTTATCCTAAAATGGACTAATGACATATCTCTCTGAAAACTCTCCCCACCAGAGCATCCTAAGAATGCTACTGTCTGAAACTGTGATGTATGAAGGAGCATGAGCAGCCCCTGCACATGCACAGTAAAATTCCTCTCCCCCACAGAAGAGAAAACAAACATCTTCCTTAACTGACCAGGGAGGGAGTGCTTGAGAGTTTTCTCCCTGCCAACTTACTTTGTCAGGAGTAATAAATCTTTGCTCCCAACAACTTCGTGTGTCTGGTCAATGCACTTCAAGCCTCAAAACCCTTTGCATTTAGTAACACAGGTAGGGACCAAAGGGTCCAACACTGCAGGCCATTTTAAGTCCTATCTTCATGCTAACAAAGCCAGGGAAGAAACAGGTGATGGGAAGAGAGGAAGGAAAAAGACATGAATCAATTTGCAATTTGAAAAGACCACACTCCACTGTTAGAAGGAGAGGGCTGTGGTGGGGGGGGGGGGAGGGGAGAGTAGAAAAAGGGGGAGGAAAAGGATGTAGAGTGACTAAACGAATAAGCAGAATATTGCAAGTGGTCATTAAAGTGATCATAGTAGCTTGGTGCTGGGGAATCAAGAAAAATTGACAGATTACCATTATAGTTAACAAATCAGTAAGATTTGATCTGGGGAATGAGAGAAAGGAAAAACAATTCTTCTGAGCCTCAATTCTTCATCTGTAACACAGGACTGTTGATACTCCATCAGTATAATAACTATCTTGCCATCTGCTGTGATAAGAATATGAAATAAATATATTACAAACTTAACAGAGCTTGGCACCTAATAAAGGCTTTTTTAAGGAAAAAAAATAAATACTGTTTAAAGAATAAATCACTAATACTATTATCGCCATCCCATGGAAAGTGAACTACACCACAGACAGAACCCCAAGGGTAGAAAATTAGAATTACAGGTGAAGATTCCCGTTGTCTGCGCTGAAGACACAGAACCCTCTAGTTAGTCACTTAGGAAACAGTTTGGAAACAGGGCCAGGCCCTGCGTCCTGAGCTGCTGAAATTCACATCCCCAGTGTTGCGGCTGGCTGACAAGGCCCTGTCAATCCTGGGTTTAGAGCAGAACGTCCACTAGTCATCAAACCAGGCGCTTCCTGTGCACTGCCCCCGTATGCCAAAACAGGAAAGATCCCAGACTCCAGAGAGCCCGACATACCTTAGCTTCGCGCTCTAGCTCCTCGGCCGTCGGGGTCCGCTTCATGCTGCCGCTACAGCCGCCCTCTCCACTGCGAACCGCGTCGCTCCCTCGCCCGGGACCCCGCCTCCTGCTTGTAGTTCTCTAAGAGCCCCGCTGCCGTCGGGGTCAGTTCTTTCCCGGAGCCTCGAAAACTACAATTCCCAGAATGCAAAGCGGCGCCCCCAGCGCGCGCCGCGGGGTTTGGAGTACAAGAATTTCCCAGGCTCCCAGCTGGGGAAGGGTAGTCCTCGGAGCCTGCGATTTGGCGGGCTGGGTCCCGACGCGAACTACATTTCCCAGCAGGCAGCGGAGCCTGCCATGTTTTTCCCGTGCTCCTCTCGGCCTGTCTCCCGGCACAGGCTAGGCGCTATAGCAACGGTAGCTAGCTAGCGGCTGGGAGAGTGGCGGTGAGTAATCTTTGGGGACACAGGGGGCTGGAGGCGGACGACCCTCTCCCTACAGCCCGGGCTGATGTCTTGATGTTCGCTCTGCGGCCTGGAGAAGGCCCTGGAGTTCTGCTCGCGTGAAAAGCAGCCGGCACGAGACCCCCCTCCGCATCATCAGGCCTCAATGACACCCTGCCCGGTCTTTGATCCGCACCCCAGGATCGGCTTGAAATTTTTAGATCCCAGCCCTAAACCTTAATTGACAAAAAAGAGTGGATGCTGTTTACCAGCCTGGCCAAGTCCTTCTTCAAATCCCAAAAAAAAAAAAAAAAAAAAAAGGGCACAAAAACACAATTTGCTCATTAGCTCTGGGTAAGGAGTTGGTCTTAGATCCTAAGCTGCAGGGGTGGCCTATTGTTTGCCCTTTTTATTATTATTTTTGGGGGTGGGGTCGGGCTGCATCCGGCTTTGTGGGGGGCTTACTCCTGGCTATGTGTTCAAGCATCACTCCTGCATGTGCATCCCTGAGATCGAACCAAAGTAAAAACCCTGTACTGTCTCTTCAAGACCCCTTCTTGCTTTTGTTTATTTGTATATTAGGGGGACTATAACTCAAAGTGCTTTGGGATAATTTCTGGCCATGCTCAAAGACCTTATTTGGTGCCAGGGATTGAACCCTTATCAGCCATATGCATGGCAAACGCTTCCTACTGGACTGTCTCTCTGCTCCTTCCCCCACTTTTGCTTTTTTCATAAGTATCTGTTTATGGTCTGGTTATCCCAGAACCTATATTTGATTCATTGATTCCCTAAAGGCAAGGACTGTAACCAATTTTAGGTTCAATACCAGGCACTAATTTTTCAGCTTGTCGATGACCAGACCCCTGACCCACTGTGAACAGGACTGGGATGTCTTATTCTTGACTAGTGAAGGCAAATTAGGAATGAACTGGTGAGAACATACAGTAATTTCAGATAGCAGCAGTTACTATACACAGAATGGACTGATGAAATTGAAACGATGAATAGCTTTATCACCACATGGTCAGGGAAGGCCTCTCAGGAGAAGAACTGGATCCCAAAAGAATAAGCAATCCAGTAGTGCTAAGACCTTGAGCAAAATGAGGGGAAAATGGATTTTCCTAACTAAAGTAAAGGAGACTTCTATGAGCGGAGCTTAGCAAGCATGAGGTGGTGTTTGAGAAACAGAACACCACTGTTCCAGGTTTCTCAGCCCCCACACTATTAGTATCTTGGAATCGGATAACTTTTTCTTGTGGTTCTTCTGCATGAAAGGATGTTTAGTATCATCTCTGGTCTCTAGATGCCAGGAACAACCCTCTCTTCCCAATTTCAATAATCACAAATCTGACTAAATGGCCATTTTTTTAATTTGCATGGCCTTCAGCGAGTGATCTAAGTTGTATCTGGTTCCTTTGTAAACCTCCAAAGGAAGTGTGAGATACTTGATTCACATAAGTGGCACACTTAGAGGAGTGTCTGGCTCATCTGAAGAAGCAGCCAATGTATCATCATCATCATTATAAGAGTTATCATTACTCCATCCTTGGAAAAGTTTTCACAATTGCTGGGACAGTGGCCTGTGTTTAAATTTTTTGACAATTTGCGTTCTAAAATTGACATTTTCTGTATCAGTTTCCAAAAGAAATAGGTATCTTTATAACTCTGGGGTGCTGTATCATAGCACAGTGCATTGGTTCTCAGCCTTTCATAAGTTACAATAAAAGTGACAATATGTACATAAGTATATTGTGCATAACACAAAATTTTTACTTCATTGACTCTGAAGCCCCATGGAATAGGATCAGCTTTATAGAGACTGATAACCTCCACCGTGGCACTTCGGCACTGTTTTGGTTGTTGTTGTTGTTTTTGTTTTGGGGGGGTGGGGCGCCATACCTGGTGATGTTAAGGGGTTACTCCTGGCTATGCACTTAGGAATTACTCCTGGTGGTGCACAGAGGACCAAATGGGATCCCAGGATTCGAACTCCAGGTCTGCCACAATCGAGATAAATGTCCTACTAGTTATACTATTGCTCATATCCCAACCTTGACTCTTCTTAATTGACAGTTCGCATTTGGATTTATGGGGTAGATTGAAATGAAAATACTAAAAAAACAAAAATTCTCTGCTAGATATTTCATGGGACACACATTCACATATAAAATTAAATATAATAGTTGTATCTCTGTGGAGAAGAGAAACTGTAAGAAATGCTAGCGTTAGCTAGACATTCTATGTTAAGTTTGGAAACTTTGGAGTATACTACTCATAGCAACAAAGATAACACACACAGAGACACACACAAATATGTACCCCCCAAAAGATCCAATATGTGAATTTATGAAACCTCCTTCACAAAACTTGAAACAACCATTTCTTTATGTATCAAGTCGAAAATACTTATGCACTAGTAGCATATCAGGCAGTTTTGTGCTAAATACAATCATTTGTCTGTACAATAACTCCAATTATTTCTCTTATTTTTTTGCCAGGGATTGAACCTAGGACCTCACTTGAACTCCATTCCTTGAACATCCTTAGCTCTCTTCTTCATATTAACTAGACTATTAATACCAACTAGACTATTTAAGTCTAGTTCCTAACTTGTATTTCTTACCCCCTCGACCCCCCAAGAAACCTGCTTTATTTGGGTAGCACTGTAGCACTCTCCTCCCATTATTCATCGACTTGCTCAAGCAGGCACCAGTAACATCTCCACTGTGAGACTTGTTACTGTTTTGGGCATATCAAATACATCATGGATAGCTTGCCAGGCTTTGCCGTGTGGGAGAGATACTCTTGGTAGCTTTCCGGGCTCTTTGAGAGGGGCGGAGGAATCAAACCCGGGTTGGTAGCGTACAAGGCAAACGCCTTACCCACTATGCTATCGCTTCAGCCCAGCAAAGAGGTTAAAAAAAAAGCAATTTAAATTTTCACTGTAGTTAAAAGTATATGCAAAATAATTCTCATAATAAAGGCATTCAGTTTCTAATTCTGAGTAAAACAGTGATGGACCATATCATGGGCTTCCAGACCCAACGCATCATTTTTTAGGGGTATGTGCTTTTAGGGGTATGTGCTTTATTTGGATATCCGAATGAATAGGAGGTGTCAGAATGAGTCAGAGGAAAGGAGGCTTTGCTTAAGTTTGGGGAGTTCATTTTTATTTCAGAGGAGAGAAGGAAGAATGATAATCTTACCTCATTTCCTCAGCAAACTATAGGAAATATACTGTTGAAAAGAACACTGTCTCTCTGATTGAACACAGCATTACTTTTGGAAGAGCAGCTTTCATCTTCTTGAAGCAGCACATGTGGGCAATAAGATGTCCATTAAAGTTCTAGTGCCATATTCACTTTATTTGGTTCATTCCATTGCATAGTTAGTGTTATGACTCGGAGAATTTTTATTTGAATTTTCTTTCTCCCACAGATAGGCCATGTCTGGCCCGACGGATGAGACGGCTGGAGACCTGCCTGTGAAAGATATAGGCCTAAACCTCTTTGGAATGGGCGGGTTACAAGGTATGGCCAGCTGTTATTTATTACAGTGATGAACTTTGATCAGCGACTTCTTTCCTTTTAATTTAGAGTATTTCTGATATTCGTACAAACCAAGCCATTTAAGTAACTATATAGCTCTTGATTGGACTAAACGAGATGGAGCATTTTAGAGCAGCATATGGTATTTTTACTGCATGCATCAATTATCAACAGCTCATAGAAAATGTAAAATTCCCCTCTGTTCTGATAAAGAATTGTTATAAATCATCTTTTAAAATTCCATCCATCAGTAGAAACTACGCAAAGAGTTTCAAGCCTCCAAACCGAATTGCCTGGTTTAAATCACATTCACCATGAAAATGCTTCTTTGTGTTTAAATTTTATATGGGAGGAAATTCCATATTTAAAAAAAATTTCTTTCCTTTCAACTAGGGTATCTCAAAATGGCTTGTTTATCCAAGTGATGTTGACTTGGTTTTATCAAATTAATATACATTAGAAGTTTTCCTTATCCTTTTATCACCTAGTGATTGCTGCTTTTTTTTAAAAAAAAAAAAGGACACTTTTTTAGTTGATGAAGAAGAGCACTGCTTACAGAACAATTTAAAGTGTAGAATTTTGGTTTTGTCTGTATATGCCTGTACTTTCATCACTGAAAAGATTCTGATATAAAATGCATACAAAATAGATCTCAATAAGGTGTGTCATACACCTGTTAATCATAATAGTACAAGTGGTGAACTTGCACTATCACAGAAAGGTGACCAATGTATTGGCTTTTATTTTTAAAAGTGAAATGTACATTTAAGCTTGGCTTAGGCATATATAAAATCTGAAGTCCAGTTTTTGCCCTCAGTAACTTTTATCTTTGTACATTTGCTCTTTGTTTTATTTAGAACGTTGTTAAAAATTGACCTGTTTTCAAAGTGAGATGGGATATGTCAAATTTAAATATCTGGGGCCAGAGATCAAGTTCAGTGTGTAAGACCTTAGGCTTAATACTTGACACCATCATGGGTGTGTGTGTGTGTGTGTGTGTGTGTGTGTGTGCGCGCGCGCGCTCACATGTGTGCTCACAGGGGGTGGCAGTGGGGGTGAGGAAGCCTATAAGTATTTGGTATAGAATTTTAGTTATTAGACTTATAATTTATATTAGACTTATAACTCTTGGCTTTTTTTTTTTTTTTGCTTTTTGGGTCACACCTGGTGATGCACAGGGGTTACTCCTTGCTTTGCACTCAGGAATTACTCCTGGCGATGCTCCGGGGACCATATAGGATGCTGGGAATCAAACCCAGGTTGGCCTCATGCAAGGCAAACGCCCTACCTGCTGCGCTATCGCTCCAGCCCTTTATTTTAAAAAAATTATTATTTTTTTAATTTTATTTTAAAAAATTTTGTTTATATATTTAAAAAAATCTCACACTGATTGTTTTGGTTTTCACTGTTCAGAATATAAATTAAAAACATTTGATTGACCCAGAATTTCATCTTACATTCTGTTTTTTCTAGGAGTGAGGTTCATCTGACAGGTCTTCAGAAACTATATAGTACTGGGGATTGAGCCTGGGGCTGGCTCAAAAAGCTAAGGAGTGCATTCTTTTCTTTCAACAACCCTGGAGCCCATCCCTTGATACCGCATGGTCTCCAGAGCACCACCAGCTGTACCCTCACAAAAACAAAGACATGAATTAGGATCATTTCTTTAAAAACATTGTTAATAGGGGTCAGAGAGATAGCTCAGAGGTCGAGTACATGCTAAAACCCTGGAGTTGATCCCTGACATCACACGGTTCCCTGAGCACCACAGGAAGTGACCCCCCCCATACAGAACCTGGAGTAGTCCCCAAGGATTGCCAGGTATGGCCCAAACAATAGCCAAGAGTTCTCTACTCACTTCCAAAGAGGGATAGGAATAGTTCTGTAAGTTTACTAAAACATTTTTTTTAAAGCAACCTTTATTGGAGGTTCCAAGGTGATGTGTGTGTATGTGTGTGTGTGTGTGTGTGTGTGTGTGTGTGTGTTGTGTGTGTGATGTGTGTGGCTGGGGAGGTGGGTGGGATCTGAAATGAGCACTTCAAATTTTATTAACAGTTTTTATTTTTAGAGATGATGCTAAATAATCTCACTACTAATTCCCTTGGCATTTTTGCAGAAACGTCAGCATGGACAGCCAAGTCTCGTCAAGCAGTATCACGGATTAGTCGTGAAGAGTTGGAGGACAAGTTTTTACGTTTGCATGATGAAAATACACTACTTAAACAGCATGCCCGCAAGCAAGAGGATAAAATTAAAAGGTTATGATAAAAAGCTTTTAACTTTTTTTTTCCTGACTGTTTGCTTGGCGAATGTGCTTTTTTTTTTTTTAATATCTAAACTTAATAGAAAGCCCTACCTTGTGAATCATCTTGGAATAAGGCAGGTTGTAAATAATTGCAATGTTTAGAAATGGAAAACCTTACTAGAATAATAAAGCACAAGGATTATGAGTGTTGTCAGGTCATTTGAAAGCAGAGAGCTACTAAGAATGCCTTATGTACTTCATGTCTACAAATAACTTTTAGATTAAGGTCTAGGGATGAAGCTAAGTGGTACACTATATTCTTTCCTTGTGTGAGGCCTTGGTTGCAATCTGAGCATATAAACAAACATATTTGGCTTAATATCTATAAGAAAAATAGCTTAAACATCTCTTTTTGTTTATTTGGGGGGTGGGGGACTTACTTGATGGTACTTTGGGGCTTTTCCTGGCTCTATGCTTAGCATTGACCCCTGGTGCTGCTAAGGGTACCATATGTGGTGCTGGGGATTCGTCCCAGGTTCAGTCTTATGCAAAGCAAGTTCCTTACCTTCTGTACTGTCTCCAGCCCCAAGTATCTTTTTTTTTTTTAAATGTCCTGGTTTTAAAATGAAAGCCTTTAGAAGTAATTAGCATTCTACATTTTTAGAATTTCTGTTCCTTTAGGATTTGGGGCTTACTGGGATTTAATGAAAATTTGTGATTTAATGACAACATTTCAAGCTGCAATATATTTAACTTGATTAATCTAGAATCTGTTAAAAGAGACTGGACTAATTCTTTTTTTTTTTTAATTTTTATCAGTGAAACACCATGAGGTACAGTTGTAGGTTTACAAATTTTTGTGCTTGGGTTTCGATTATACAATGATCAAGTAGCCATCCCTCCACCAGTGCCCATTTTCCACCACCATGGATCCCAGTATCCCTCCCACACCCATCCCCCCATCCCACCCTGCCTCTGTGGCAGGGCATTCCCTTTTGTTCTCTCTCTCCTTTTGGGTGTTGTGGTCTGCAAAAGAGGCATTGAGTGGCAATCATGTTCAGTCCATAAGAGAGTGGACTAATTCTTATGAAACACTTTTATGTGCAAAAAGATTCTTGAGAGCTAATACTCTTAATTCTTGTTCAGAAACTATGTAACTAATCAGAATGTGTGTAGTTGGGGAAAGAAGTACATTAACATTAGTAAGTATGGACAAGTTTGTATTTATATTCTTGTTCTGTGGACCATGAAAAGACTGAGAAAACCTTGAAAGAAGATAGGAAGTTTTTTTCCTGTTTAGAACTAATCCTACAGGTTCATCTCAATTGAAACTCTATTCAGTTTAGTGTTAATAGAGTTCAGAATTAGAGTTAGTTCTATTTCTACTCTCTGGACTTAGTTTTCTGTTTTGTTTTGTTTTGTTTTAATTTCCTTTTGTTTGAGAGCCACTCCTAGCAGTGTTCAGGGCTTACTCCTGGCCATGCACACAGGGATCACTCTTGGAAATCACTCAGGAAACCATATGGGGTGTTAGGGATCAAACTTGGGTCAGCCGCTTCAAGGCAAGCACCATAAACACTGCACTATCACGCCAGCCCCTAGGTTTCCTTTTAATGAGCATCTTAGGCAGAACAGTGTATGGAGCACTTTTACTTTTAGCTGAGTTTTGAGTCATGATCATGGCCTTTGCAAAACCTGTCATTCAATTTCCTGATTCCTTTTCTGACCAGAAGTATATTCACATCAACCTATCAAAACGAGACATGCAATCTACAACAACTAAATTGGTGTGTGTGTGTGTGTGTTTATTTTTCACAAGCCTATTGGTTGATAAAAGAACTAAATTCAGTCTTGACCTTATTAAATTTGTTCTGACCAAAAAAAAAAAAATTAGGACTGTTACTTGTATTCATATACTGTTGCTTTCTACCACAATTCTGGTGTGTGTTCAGTTCACTTAACCTAGGATTTTATTTTACTTAGATCCTAGTGTTGGGATCCCATGACCACTATGACCTAAAATCTCAATCCCTTCTCAGTTTCACACTAACACTATCTAGCTACATTTACAGATTGAATTGTTGCAATTTGTTCTTAAGCTAGGGAGACAGCCCAGGTGGTAGAGCACATGCCCAGCTATGCAAGTCTCAGAATTCAGTTACCAGCACTGTATTCCCACCACCCCAGCACCATTATGTATGGCCCATATACTTTTATTCTGAAGAGGTTATGAGTATTCTCTTCAGTATAAATACAGATTTGGGGGGGCTGGAGCAATACAATACCTAGGGCATTTGCCTTGCATTTATCCAACCTGGTTTCAATCCCCAGAATTCCGTATGGTCCCCTGAGCACCACCTTGAGTAACTTCTGAGTGTAGAGCCAGGAGTAACACCTGAGCAACTCTGGGTGTCACCCCCCCACAAAAAAATAAATGAATACAGATATTTTGAAAGACACTTTTGAAAGTAAGTAGCCAGGTGGGAGAGATCATATAAGGGCTAAGGTGCTCGCCTTGCACATAGCCAAATCCAGTTTGATCCCCAGCACTATGTATGGTAACTTGAGCGGTGCTCAGCGATAATAATTTTTTAAGTAAAGGTAGTAGTCAGACTTTACCAGCTCTCTTGATTGTTTACTGCTACTATAAATAATTAAGTCAAACAACTGACAATAGTAATTACTATTAATAAATAAAGGCTTAAAGTTTATTTGAATATCACTGAATGAATTTAAAGTCACTCTTATAGCTATGTTTTTCTTGTCTTAAAAATTGGATTTTTTTTCTCTAAATATTGACTACCTATTTTCATTAAATCTCTTTGTGATGGGGCGGGGGGGATGGGTGGGGAGGGGTCCACACCTAGCAGTGCTCAGGGATCACACCAGGCCTTGCTGAAGGGACCATATGGGATGCCAGAGATCAAACCTGGGAACCCCGGTCAGCCTCAAGCAAAGCAGGCACCTTACCTACTGTACTGTCTCTCTGGCTCCATTAAATGTCTTTCTTTTGAATGTAACCTGTATGAAAGTTCTCTGTAACAGAAGATTTAGCTATTTAGGTTGCCATCTTTTAGATGGCTGTATTTCTGTGGATAAGCAACTAGTTGGGCAGAGGTCCCTAACTTATTAAAGGGCAATGGAGAGTACATAAAGGTAGAGTAAGTCACTTCAAGGGGCTCTGATACCTGGCCAATTGTCCCAATGATACATCATTCTCTGGATTAGGTGGAAAAGGAAATAATCCACTGATTATTTTACGAGGGTTTTTGTGGTACTATTGGATCTTGGGTTTTACTATTCTCTATCCCTTATAAAGCAAGTTTAATGGATGTGCCTCAAGGGAAAGAGAAAACAATCTTAACTGATTATGTTATGCATCGCTCTCCCCAATGACACGTGCTGGAGACCAAGTAGCCAGAAGCAGGTCAAGAGAATTGTATTACTACCACTTTTACAGAGAACTCTGCTTAGGGCAAAAGAAGGCGGTTCTGTGACGTCCCAAAGCTGTTAAGGATTCCTTTTTTTTTTTTTAATTTCACTTTTGTTCTCTTAAGTAAAAGCTTCTGTCTATAATCATACTAAAATAAAGCAAACCCCGCTTAAAGAAAAATGAAGTGTGTTTTTATTTTCAATCTCCTGTCTGGGTCTTTATAAAAATAGATTCTCTATAAACTAGAATCAGCTATTGAAGATGTGCGACCAATTTTGTAAAGTCTTGAACTTGTGTCTCTCATCAAAGCCACCTTTTCTTTCTTGTCCTGCCAAAATTTTTCCATTCACTGTCAGGCATGTTTTCCGTACGTGTATATTACATCACCCCAATGTACCCTTTTGTCTTTTGTTCTGTCCAACTAATTTTTATCAAAACTTAGAAGAGTCAAAGGTATAAAACTCCTGAGATAGCAAAAGTACAATTTATGTCCAAATTTACAGGGAATGTTAAACTAAGTTTTTTTTCATTCAATTATTTTCCACCATTAAGCATGCAACTTTTAATATGGCTCACTTTGGTAACTTTTGCGGCTTTCATTGGACTTTTAAATGATATATGTTTGCAACTCATTTTTATATATTTGTAGTATGTCTTAATCCTAGAGAAATTGAACACATTATATCAACTAAATACAGTGGAGTCTTAACACAGTTTTCAAAACTTTCAGCTTACCGTGTATTGCAGATATAACCCATCACATCCACAATCTGTAGCTACATTTAAGTGCATACAGCATTCCTACATAAGGTCATGCGTTAAAAATTGCATTTGAAGAACATATGGAGTAAATATGTGTCCTCTCTTTACTAACCTTAAATGATAAGCCTTAGGAAACTGTTATTTGTCAGTGCTATAAAGCAGATTGTTGCCCAGTGGTTTCAATTATCATCAAAGGATTCTTCACAGGCAGTAATAGTTACATCAAAACCTGAAATTTATTATTCAGGTTCTGCACTGAAGTCTTCACAGTGATTATGTTCCTTTCAACAGAATGCATTTTATGCTGACTTCTCACATTCCTTTTCATCTTTTTATTATTTCCCTAGAATGGCCACCAAGTTAATACGGCTAGTTAATGACAAGAAAAGATATGAACGGACTGGTGGCGGCCCCAAGCGGCTGGGACGAGACGTGGAAATGGAAGAAATGATTGAACGACTGCAAGACAAAGTTCATGAGCTTGAAAGACAAAATGAAGTCCTCAAAAACAGACTGATTTCAGCCAAACAGCAACTTCAAATCCAGGGTCACAGACAAACTCCCTATAATTACGTGCAATCCCGTATTAACACCGGACGTAGAAAAGCAAGTGAAAATTCAGGCTTCCAGGAATACCCCAGGAAAGGTAAAGAAAACTTAAATTCAGTCTTTAATTGGTTACTTCACATGCACCCAGTTTTATTTCTGTATAACTCGTGTTTATAAATGACTTTAGAAAGAGGAAAGAATAACAGTTTTTGGCTTTTAGATAAAAATCCCGTTAATATTAGCATGAAGATTATATTTAAGAATTACTACATTATATTTCAATTTGTTGGCAAAACATTGAAATTAGTTGTTTGTTTTAACTGATAAAGGAGACAAGACCAGAAATTAAGTAAGCTTAAATTGAGTTGATGTCTATGTTACAGATGTAAATCGCGTTGATTAGGCATAACAGGGATACCAGCTAGTTGGCTTATATATAATAATCCTTCTTATCCTTTTGAATGAGCACACTTAAGTTCTTTGTCCAAAGGCCACTTATAAAATCTTTGTCCAAAGGCCACTTTATAAAATTTACAAAATTTGAAATTACTTCTCATTGTGTAGAGGCATCATACAATGAAATGTACACGTAAGTAGAGGTTTAAAAATGTTGGATTCTTCGTCAAAGAGATAGTATAGGGGTTAAGATGTTTGCCTTGCATGCAGCCAACCCTGATTTGGTCCCTAGCACCACCAAGCACCATCATCCTGAGCATCAACAAGTGTGACCCACCCACCTGCAGCATCCCCCCAGTTTAAGCAAAAAAAAAAAAAAAGTTGGCTTCTTCTTCAACCACTTTCTTGCTAAAGACTTCAGACAAGCCTTTTAATGATCCTCTACCTGAATTTTCTTTTACACGGAAAACAAACAGATTTAAGCAGTGACCATAAAGGTCTCTTTTATCTCCAGAAATGACCATTTTAAATCAACTAAAATCTATCTAATCCAGGGGCTGGAGCAATAGCACAGCAGGTGGGCTTTTGCCTTGCATACGGCTGGCCCAGGTTCGATTCCCAGCAACTCATATGGTCCCCTGAGCACCGCCAGGAGTGATTCCTGAGTGCAGAGCCAGGAGTGGCCAGGGTGTGACCCAAAGCAAAAAAAAGAAATCTATCCAATCCAACTTACCCATCAATTGAGTTTCATGGGTAAAACAGTGTAGAAATAATCCAAATATTTCTAACAAAATTCCAATTTCTCTCCACTCACATGCAGTCTTTTTTTTACATATATAATGAGACAAAAGTCAATAAATATTTTTAAGCAACTTACACTCTTTTTCAGCTACCAGGGTAAAGAAATTAAATTTTAGCTCTAATGACCTTCGTTTTGATTATACTTCATGTAAAGTCCAAGTATTTTTTAGGAGCATTAAAAAAAATTGTGTAAGAATTTTATTTCATTGAGAAAGAAATCGAACACCATGTGAATAGAAAAGACAAAAAAAAAAGTATTCTGTGTATTTTTTTCCTCGAACCAAATGGTTAATACTATCTAGTCCCGAGACTGAGTCCTTTGAAATCAGTAATGCCTTCACTCAGACTGGAGACAGCTGCAGGATGAAAGAGGTCTTGGCCACTCCTAGCTACGTGAGTTTGGCAACAGACTTTAAATATAACTAAAAGCTTGGTAATGAATTAAAAATTAGGAAATACATTCAATCCCCAGCACTGCCTGGTCCCTCCCCGTCACTCCTCTGGGAGCTCCCTCCACCCCCAGAACCAGAGTAGCCCTCACGTTGCCCTGGGTGTGGCCCTACCCCAGTCCTGTATCAAAAAATACATTTTTTTTTTACTTTTATTTGGAAGAATGCGCTGGACCTCCCAGAGCCTCCTTATCCTAATCTGAAAAATGGAGTGAAGACACCAGATGAGATAAAAGATCAGAAAATGGTTACTCCACACTAATAAATATTTAACCTTAAAAAAAATCATATCTCCTCTTTGAATCTTGGTTTTGTCATCTATGACCTTAACTGGAGGAAAAAAATAATATTTTTGCTGTCTACAAGGTCTTTTATGCTAAACAAAAACTGAACAAATTCAGAGTAAAAATGACATTGGGTGGGGAAGTTGACATGGTGATGGGATTGGTGCTGTATCCTTGAAACTCAAGGATGAATAACTGTGTAAAGTGTGGTGCCTTAATTGAAAGAGAAAGGAAGGGAGGGAGGGAGGGAGGGAGGGAGGGAGGGAAAGAAACTAGCAGGGAGGGAGGGAGGGAGGGAGGGAGGGAAAGAAACTAGCAGGGAAGGAGGGAGGGAGGGAGGGAGGGAGGAAGGAAGGAAGGAAGGAAGGAAGGAAGGAAGGAAGGAAGGAAGGAAGGAAGGAAGGAAGGAAGGAAGGAAGGGCAGACCCCCTCAAAATTGGCAACCGGCTGGTGATTGCTGCTTGCTTGATTACTAAGCTTTGCTTAGGATTTCTCCCCATGAGAAAAAGATCAGCGGAGGCTTTTCCCCCTGTCCTTGTACACTCATCAGATTTCAGACCTTTTTCTCACTACGATAGAGTCCAAGACACAGCTGCTGTCCAAAGCATTAAGTTGTGATGAATACTTTCCTTTCCACTATCATCCTGAGTGAGCTGGAAACACAATTATCAAGTTTGCTATGTTAGTAACCCAAATAGACTCTTCAAGGCATTCAAGGCTGGAACTCCGGCCAAGCCTGTCAAAAATATCTCAACCTGGGGTGACCGGAGGAATGGGAAGGGAGAAACCCCAGATCTCTGCCACAAATAGCCTTAGCCTCAAGCTACTGAAAAGTGTTACCACATTTTGTTTGTGCCTTGTCAGAATAGAATGAGAAGTACTAGTATAAGATATGATTACTGTAACATAGAAACATTTATTTCATTTATTTGTCTATTTTAATGTAGAGAAAAGCCACAACCACTGATACAGTTCTAGAGTTGAAATTGATTAGATAACAAAGCCCCACAATTGAAATCAATAAGTATAAAGAAAATAATCATTTTCTGTGACAAATGTTACAAGGTTAAATCCTTGTCTAAGAATTTAATAAGCTGTTTTGTTGCTAGTTGAGCCCTCTGTGTTACTGTTTTTTTGGGTGTTAAGTATAGTTTGCTTCTATGTTACTTTCTATGTAATTTGGTGTCCTCCTATTGGAATTTCAGTGTTAAGAAATCAGGAGGTGGGGGCTGGAGTGATAGCACAGCGGGTAGGGCATTTGCCTTGCATGTAGCCAACCCAGGTTTGATTCCCAGCATCCCATATGGTCCCGTAAGCACCTCCAGGAGTAATTCCTGAGTGCAGAGCCAGGAGTAACCCCTGTGCAAAGCCAGGTGCAACCCATAAAGCACTGTCACTGTCATTGTCACTGTTGTTCATCGATTTGTTTGAGCGGGTCCAGTAACGTCTCCATCGTGAGACTTATTGTTACTGTGTTTGACATATTGAATATGTAGCTTATAGCTTTGCCATGTGGGCGAGATACTCTTGGTAGCTTGCTGGGCTCACCAAGAGGGGCGAAAGAATCGAACTCGACCCAAAAAGAAAAAAGAAAAAGAAAATTAGGAGGTGTCAGGGACCAGAGCAATAGTATAGGAGATACAGCATTTACCTTATCTTTGACTGACTAGGGTTAGATTGTCAGCATTCCATATGGTCCCCTGAATACTACCAAGAGTGATTACCTGAGTACAGAGCCAGGAGTAACCCCTGAGCACCACATGTGTGGCCCAAAAACAAACGAACGATATATAAAACCACTGATTTTTTTTTTAAGTTACATTATGAGTATAAAATTTTTTTCTAGTTTGGAGGGGGTCACATCTATCTGTCAGTGCTCAAAGGCTCAGTGCTCAGGGGTGATAAGTAGAAGGCCATCTATCACTGCAAGCTGTAGGCCATGATTCCTGCAAGCGTAGTATGCATAAATGCCCTTGGAGCTATCTCCCTGCTCCCTAGAAGTTTTGTTGTTGTTTTTTTCTAATGTGAGTGATGTTCCATTTTCACCACGATTTATTTAAGAAGTAATTTTCTGGTGCCAGGGCTGTGACTCAAGTGGTGGCAGGCCCCCCTGGGTGCCATCCCCAGCTCCACATGTACTCCCACTGTCCCCCAAGCACTGCCAGAGCAGCCGTGGTATCCCTGAGCACTGTTAAGCCGAGTGCCAGAACTTCACAGGCCGTGAGCCCAAACCCGAAACCACCATTGGACTGGGCCGCCTCGTTGAATTTTTTAAAAAGAATGAGCATTACTGCCTATAGTATCTAATAGGCAAATTTTAACACTTCCAACGTCTTTGATATTTTTAGACCTTTTTCCTGTTTTTTTTACTCTGAATTACAATCAATATGAAAGTTTCGGAAATAGCCAAAGTAATAGTTCCATTATTCTAATGAAAATCCTAATTTATTCTTCTTACTTAAGGGGAGGCTTCCCAAGCAGTGCACAGGAGACCTGGAGGACCACTCCTGGGGTCACGTGGCTGACCCAGCCAGTGGGTCAGTATTAGGGTCAGTATTAGAGCCTGAGGTTGCAGCGCTGCCCCGGCCACTGGTACCGAACATTACCCAGACCATGCTCAGGGCATGGGGGACCACCCCCAACATACCCGGTGCTCCAGGTTTCACCTGGGCGTGCCCTACTGAACCACGTGATGCTGAGGTCAAACATGAGTCAGCCTGGTCAAGGCAGGGCCCTTAACCCCTCTACAATCGCTCCCACCCTTTCAATTCTTATCTTTTCAAAATAAAATTTTCTAAGGAGAGTGATTTTTTTTCCTGTAGCTTCACATCTGGAACTATTCATCATTTAAAAATCTAAATTAGGGCCAGAGAGTTAGTTCAGTGAGCACACTCTGCATAGTGAGACCCAGGTCGGATGCCCTACAATGTGCAGTTCCCCAAGCACTGCCAGTAGTAGCTAGCCCTTGAGCACTGCCAGTGCAGCCCCCCAAATCAAGAATAAACAAAAATCTGAATTACTTGCTGCTGGGAGATGGATCACAGGCTGGAGCACATGCTTTACGCATGGGGGCCCTGGGTCCGCTCTCCGGCACAGCATGGTCTCATATGAGCCAGAGTACTCCAGGGCATTACCCAAAGGAAATCTAAGCTATACTAATCTAATTATTGTATGCATGTGAAGTGACTCACAGAATTGGTCTGTAGTTTTATTAGTGAGACCACTGTAGCACTGTAGCACTGTCCTCCCATTGTTCATCGATTTGCTCGAGCGGGCCCAGTAACATCTCCATCGTGAGACTTGTTGTTACTGTGTTTGGCATATAGAATACATCACGGGTAGTTTACCAGGCTTTGCAGTACGGGCGAGGTACTCTCAGTAGCTTGCCAGGCTCTCCGAGAGGGGCGGAGGAATTGAACCTGAGCTAAGCAGGTCAGCCGCGTGCAAGGCAAACGCCCTACCCGCTGTGCTATCACTCCAGCCCATTAGTGAGACCAGGCTTGTAAAATCACATTTAAAGTTTTAAAGAAAAATTGTATTTGAAGTGTGGCAACAAAATATATAAAAAGAATCCTCTTTGGTGGCCAGAGAGACAGTGCAGGAGGTAAGATGCTTGCCTTGCACAGGTCCAACCCAGATTTGATCCCTGGCACCCCATCTGGACCCCTGAGCACTGACAAGTGTGAGCCCTGAGCTCAAAGCCTGGAGTAAGTCCTGAGTACTACTGGATTTGGCCCAGAAACAAACAAAAAACCCAATTCGATGATACCTTTTCAAGTTACTTTTATTTAATGGATTTTTTTTTCTGAAATCAAAGATACAATACAGCTAGTAGGATTCAACCCCTGGCAAACTCACATATCCCCTGAGCCCTGCCAGGAGTGATCCCTGAGCACAGAGCCAGGAGTAAGCCCTCAACACTGCCAGGTGTGACTCAACCCTCCTGACTACTTGAACCTTTCCCCCCCACCCTCTGATCCCCGCCCCCCCCAAAAAAAGAAAAGAAAACTTTAAAAAAAAAATTGGAAGTCTCTTTTTCCTATATGCTTTACTTTATATTGTAAAATCTAAACTGAAGACTTTGAATCTTTCAGAAATTCAAAGCTAAATCAAATTATCTCGAGGTAATTTGGTTTCCATTATAGAATTTTTCCAAGTTGTTGTAATGGAATTTGTGTAATCACACCAGAAGCATCTTTAGGCAAGAAAGCAAAAGGTTCAATTATTTAACGACAGACAGACAGCAGCTAGGCAGCCACCTGAAATTTCGGCCCAGACTACGAATTTGGAGCACTTCTTTTAGAGTCTTCTGGCAGTCATAGCAATGGTAACACGAGGAGAAGAAAGGCACAGGAATGGAGCACGTGTGTTTCTCCACAATACACTGAGGGACACTGAGGCAAGAGGGTCACAACACGGAATTTAGAGGGGAACCCTTGCTTCTGGGAATCTTTGTGGTTTGGGCCCCAAGGAGACATTTATCAATTTACTAATTGTTCCAGGCTGGAGCAATAGCACAGCGGGTAGGGTGTTTGCCTTGCATGCGGCCAACAAGGCCAACCCGTGTTTGATTCCTCCGCCTCTCTAAGAGAGTCCAGCAAGCTACCGAGAGTATCTCGCCTGCACGGCAAAGCCTGGCAAGCTACCTGTGACGTATTCGATATGCCAAACACAGTAACAAGTCTCACAACGTTACTGGGCCCCACTCGAGCAAATCGATGAACAACGGGAGGACAGTGACAGTGACAGTGACTAATTGTTCCGGTGGTCCTGCCCCCCTTCTCAGCTTAGACTACAGGGACATTTGGGTCTTTCTGTTCTACTCTGGTCAGCTTTATGATGTACGAACTGTTCATCTCTTCCCAGTTCCCAGAACCAGCTGCTCAGAGCTCCTGCCTCTGGCTGCCGCCCTGTTTACCTGTGCCTAAGCGACCTGCTTGATGTTTCTAACTTTACCAGCACTGCATCAGTGCAGCACGATGAGGCGTTTTTGAATTTAGAGGAAACCGGGAAAGCCGAGCAAAAACTGCAGTGTAACCATAGCTATCACATCCCACTGTTTCTTAATTCAAAGGACAGGGCACACACTGCAGTTTAACCCTTCTGCATCACAAACGGGACAGTACTTGCTGCTGTGTTTTGGTTTATGCTTACTTAAAAATATCTTTAGGGGCCGGAGAGATAGCACAGCGGGTAGGGTGTTTGCCTTGCACGTGGCCAACCCGGGTTCGATTCCTAGTATCCCATATGGTCCCCTGAGCACTTCCAGGAGTAGTTCCTGAAAAAGTTTGTTATATCACAGATATTCTCATGATAGCCAATCCAGGGTCCTTCTTTTCTAACTTTTATTTCTGTCAATCTCATTAATTTTTATTTAGGTAATAAAGTCCAAGGTGGAGACATAGCAGAAACTGTACACTCTGTGCCTACAAAATATAGCAGCAATTTACTTGAAGAAGCCAAAGGAGAAATAAGAAATTTGTATGTATTTTTTTCATAGTCATTTTCAAACTTTATTCATTGTCATTTTTTTAATTTTTCCCTTCAAATAAAATTGGTCAATCAATTTGTTCCACTAAAACAAAGCTTATTCTGTAGGCTAAGGTAAAGGTAAAGGTAAAGGCCCTCCCGTTGATCGTCGATTTGCTCGAGCGGGCCCAGTAACGTCTCCATTGGAGACTTTGTTGTTACTGTGTCTGGCATATCGAATACTCTCAGTAGCTTGCCGGGCTCTCCGAGAGGGGCGGAGGAATCGAACTCGGGTCGGCCATGTTGGCCGCTTGTAAGGCGAACGCCCTACCCGCTGTGCTATCGCTCCAGCCCCTGTAGGCTAAGAACAGACATTATTTACCAAGTAACATTTTCAGGAAAATGAACAGTTTAACCAACTTCGCAGGTTGAAGGATTTGTAGAATAACACCCTTTATTATCATCTCTCCCCGTTAAGAAATTATCACAAAGGCCAATTATTTAGAGAGGTATGTGATTTAGAGGGAACATTTTTATTCTCAGAAAAATGGCAAGTTTTTTTTTTTTTTTTAGATCCTGAACCCTTTTTGTGGTTAAAAAGATAGTTAAGCAGAGAGACAGCTTACGGAGCTATATTGCAATGTTTTGCATGCAGGAGGCCCAGGTTCAGTCCCCGGTACCACATGTGGTCCCCCTAGTAATGCCAGCCTGGAACAAATAATGAGCACCAATCGGTGTGCCAAAAAAGAAAAATAAAAATTGGGAGGACTGATTTAGAAGTTGATGCTCTCAAAGCATGTTAGATTTTGTCTTGATTCTGCTGGATCACATTCTTTATCATACTGCCATTTTATGAAGATTATTTTGGCTGGAGCGATAGCACAGCAGGTAGGGCATTTGTCTTGCATGCAGCCAACCTGGGTTCGATTCCTCTGTCCCTCTCGGAGAACCCAGCAAGCTACTGAGACTATCCCGCCCACAGGGCAGAGCCTGGCAAGCTCCCCATGGCGTATTCGATATGCCAAAAACAGTAACAGGTCTCACAATGGAGACATTACTGGTGCCCACTCGAGCAAACAACAAAGGACTGTGTTACAGTGCTACTTCGGCCACATTAAGCTTAGTGTGTTTTTTTTTTTTTTCGGTTAATCAAAGTATTATGGATGGCTTTAGTGTCTAGAGTCACACAGATGAAAATAAGATTCTGTCTTCACAACAGCCTTCACTTGGAACATCAAGAACCACAATTCAAAATGCAAGACAGAGTACTTTATGTACTATCACTGGAGTGATAGTACAGCACATAGGGCACTTGCCTTGCTCACAGCTGATCCAGGTTCAATCCTTGGCATTCCAGATGGTCCCCTAATCTCCACCAGGCATAATTCCTGAGTGCAGAGCTGAGAGTTACCACTGTGTACCACCGGGTGTGATCGCAAAACAAGTGTGACTTTATTTTCCTAAGAATACGTGATCTTCAGTTTTTCTTTTGCGTGCTTTAAATACCAGATACATTAATGATAAGTCCGCGAGAATAGAGCCAAAAGGCTAGACCTAATCAGCTGAAATTCCAGGGCTCACATCAGTTTTCTGAGACTCAGGATACAGGGATACTGCTAGCCATGGTAGAAGTGTAAATACATGCCAACGATGGTAAGGTTTGAATTTGCACATTTCCTGCCGTCTCTCTGAGGTGTTCATGTGGGTGAGATAGGCAGATGCTGCCTGTAAACAAAGGTATTATAAGTTATCTGCAGATGACCAGACTGTAGAATAAGTAGATGATCAATAAAATACCCACTTCAATGAATTAAGCCAACTACAGTCATTTGCATAAGCCAATAAAATGTCCACTTACGTGAATTTAACCAAACTGCAATCCTCTCCTTAGGATATTACCGTCAAAAAGCAACATCTTGAATACTTTCACGTATATGTCCAATAATGAGTCGCCTATATTTTTGCTATGTGTGGAAGCACATCAAGTTAATAGCATTTGCAAATTTTATGTTAAACTTTCTTTGCATGATTTTAAATAGTGAACATTTTCCCTGAAGCCACAAACTCATAGAAAGTTTATTTCAGAGAAAACGTTATCCAGTCACAGAGAGGCCAGATAGAAGAATTAGAGCACTTGGCTGAGATCCTGAAAACTCAGTTGAGGAGAAAAGAAAATGAAATTGAGTTATCTCTTCTTCAACTTCGAGAGCAGCAGGCTACAGATCAAAGGTATGTTAAAACAGAAATATCACTTTGATAAGGTCAAAATTAGTTTAAAATACTTTATCATGTGCCGCAGAAGGAAAAGTGTAGCCTATTTAAAAATCATGTTTTTACTTAACATTCTTCATATAAACCTACTCTAAGCTTACCAACTGCTATCAACAACTTTAGTCTAAGGACATTTTTCCTCCAACCTTTTCTGCCTCATCATATATGCTCCGTTTACCAGGATTGGAGGAGATTTGATACCACTTGATTGATCTTATTTATTCTGTTCACTTTTCTTTTCTTCAGCTAATTAACCTCAGCCAGATATCATCTCATCTCACTTATAAATGCTTCCCTCTATATCTCTAAGAAAGTTTTAGGGACTGGTGAGATAGTACAGGTGCTCAGCACATAACTTGTGTGCTGCCAACTCCAGTTTAATTCTGGGTACCACATGGTCCCCCATACACATCTGGCTGGCCTGGCTAATCCTGCACCAGAGGGACTAAGCAGTATTGCATCCTTGGATCCTTGCATATAGCTGCCAGCCATAGCCGAGAACGTGACTGTCTGACTGGCTGAAAATTTCTAGGAGGAGCTCCCAGGCCTCCTGAGCACCACTTGGGGGAACCTTCCCCAACTTAAAAATAAATTTTTTTTTTTTTTTGCTTTTTGGGTCACATCTCGCGATGCTCACAGGTTACTCCTGGCTCTGCACTCAGGAATCACTTCTGGCAGTGCTCGGGGGACCATATGGGATGCTGGGACTCAAACCAAGGTTGACTGCATGCAAGGCAAACACCCCCCTATGCTGTCACTCCAGCCACCCAAAATAAATAATTTTTAACATAACCACCATACCGCTGTCTACCATGATATCATCAAATTATCAGTTTGTATTTAAACTTCCTTAAACATGTTTTTTTTCCCTACTTGTTTGAATTAGAATCCACTGAGGGCTTCATATTCCATTTGGTTATATATCTCTTATCTCTTTGTCTGTATTTGTTTTGAATTCCACACCCAGTGAGGCTCAGGGTTTTCTCTTGGCTCTGTGCTCAGGAATCACTCCTGACAGGCTCAGGGGACCATGTGAGGTGCCAGGAATTGAACCTGGGTAGGTCGCATGAAAGGCAAGTGCCTTGCCCACTGTACTATCACTTCAGCCTCTTATATTTTTTAAATTTCCTTCATTATTTGGGTGTAGGGGGATGCTTAGGGCTTACCCCTGACTCCATGATCATTCCTGGAAGTGCTTGGAGGGCCATATGTGGTACCAGAATTGAACCAGGGTTTGCCACATTTCAAGCAAGCACCGTACCCCAAGTTCTATCTCTCCAGCCATCTCTCAGTATTTCTTTTTGTTGTTTCATTGGTAGGGAATCACCAAGACCATGCCCAGAAGTGCTTTGGGGTCACGTGGCACCAGAAATATAACCTAGGGGTCTCACATATGTAAGGCCTGAACACTACCCCTGAATGAACCACATCCCTGATTCTTAATATTTTTTTTTCAACCAGACTTCAATCCTCTGTGTTTCCTATTCCACTATGCAGTATCATGCTTAACAGGCTAGATTCTTAATTAGAAAAGCCAAAAATTATCTTTTAGTTTTTCTTTTTAGAAGCAGAGATCAAATTGCCGTTAGCAAAATAGCCTTACATGGTAGTACTTGAAGTATAAGATAAAGTGCATATATGAGACTTTAAAAAAATAAGTAAAATGAGGAGACAGGGTTGTGATTCCAGTGGTATAGCACACGCCTCGCAAATGCCAGGCCCTGGGTTCAGTCTCTGGCACCACATGGTTCCTCCATCACCTCCAAGTATGACTCTGGTGGCCCCTGAGTACCAGCACTTGTGATTCTCCAGAACTATAAAAAAAAAAAAATTAAGTAAAGTGTGCTTCAAGTCTATGAAAAAACATATATTTTAGTTGTTTAGATGATTGGTGTTTGAATAATTTCTGTTCCTTAAGAGTAATTGGTAAAATGTAACCACATGAAATTCTCTACATATATTTAGTGACTTTCCATATACCCCCTTTAAGCCCAGGACAAAAGAATCACACATATTATTAATTATATTTCTATTAGGCATGATAGTTTGAGGTTTTATTTGGGGTGGGGTGCCCAAGTGGCGCTTACTTAGTGCTCACGCCCAGTGATGCAGCATGACTGCTTGGACCCACCAGTCCTCGGGGTTCTCCATGGCTCTATCTGGTGGTGTCTGAGGGGACTTGGAGTGCCAAGGATGGATCTCAGGTCCCTGTATGTACAAGACATGTACCCGCGACCCCTGCACTTACGCCTCAATTCCAGGGGACAGAATTTTGAACTGTGCCTCAAAACTGGTTTCCATGCCAAGTAGGTGTCCACGTTCCCCTTGGAAGGACTGATTTAGACTTGACCTTCTTAGAAAACCAAGATACAGTTTTCTTGTGAGGAACAGCGCTGAAGTACCAGATCCTAATACTGAATATAGTTATATAGATAAAGTGTCCCTGGTTATATTTCAGGTATGAGCCAACCATAAGAATCCTAACTAGGGGGCTGGAGCAATAGCACAGTGGGTAAGGCCTTGCACGCGGCCGACCCGGGTTCGAATCCCAGCATCCCATATGGTCCCCTGAGCACCGCCAGGAGTAACTCCTGAATGCAGAGCCAGGAGTAACCCCTGAGTATCGCTGGGTGTCACCCAAAAAGAAAAAAAAAAAAAGAATCCTAACTAGGCCAAAGCCAAGCCTGATGCCATTCCTGTCAGCTTGACTGAGCATCTAATCTGGTTATCAGGGATGATTTATCTCTGATAAATCATAATTTATATATATAATTTATCTCTGATAATCATAGTTTTTTTTTAAGTCCCCTAAGAGTAAGATGGATACTTGGCTATCTTATCTTCAAAATAGATTTGACCATCTAGGAACAAGTGTTTTTGTTTTTGTTGTTGGTTTGGTTTTGTTTGGTTGTGCTCAGGGCTTCCTCCTGCCTCTCTGCTCAGGAATCATTCCTGGTGTTGCTTGGAAGACCATAGGTGGTACTGAGAATCCAACTGGAGTCATCTGGCTAGTCCCTTAATCCCTATACTATCCCTTGGGTCCCTAACATGTTCAGTGTTAATTTGAAGGGAAATCCAGATGTTTCTTAAATTCTGGGACTTAGAATAACTGAAAAAAGAATAACTGAAAAAAATATGATAGACCAGTGTGCATATTTTCTGCTTTAAATATTCTAAGCAGTTTGTATACACATAGCAAAATGTTCCAACTGTACCACAGTACATCTCTGACAGTTGTATCATTCACGATAGCAGTCTATTATTTTGCACATTAAAACGAAGGATTAAGGGACCAGAGCAATAGTACAGTGGGTAGGGCACTTGCCTTGCATGAGGCTGACTCTGGTTCCATCCCCAGCACCCCAGATGGTCCTCAGAGCCTGCCAGAGTGATCCCTGAGCACTGCCAGACTAAAGAAAATAAAATTATCAAGATAAAGAGTATTACATAAAAGTGAAGAAACTATTTTTTCAGAGACCAGATAAACCAATTTGTACCCTACCTCACTGATTTTATAAAATTGAAAGGTACCTGTGAATCAGATTGGAAAAGTACCTGTAGTAAATAGCGTATTGTTTCTTGAAATGCAGTTTATTAAAAACTAAAAAAAAAAAATTACTTCAAATAAAAGTCTTCAAGGCCCTTTTTTTTTTATTACATGTTTACACAGAGCTCAAAATGTTATATGTAGTAGCAATTTTTTGAGACTAATGGAAAACTTGAAAAATGTTGGGGGAACATAAAACTTGGTATAATTTACTGTAGAGAAGAAATCACAAAATGGAAAACATATTTAAACTTCTCCTTCACGGACCCATTATTTCAGATTTGAAATTCTAGAAGTCTGATCTGGATGTTGGACTCCTTGTTCTCAAGCATGAACCTCGCGTCGTTGTAATCTTCAGAGTGTGGTGCTTGATATTTATGGCAAAGAGTCTTTTCATAGAATATTACAGAAACTCTTGATAGTATGTGTTTAATAGACCAGTTTGGTTTGGCATCAGCTTGACATAAACTTTTGGTTATCCAAAGCTCTTAATTGCTTTGAAGTAAAAGCCCAATGCTGCTCTTTTTTATTAAAATCATGTTTTTTCCTGTTATTGTGGTCTATTTTGGAAGACTGAGTTGTGATTTTTGCATATGTTCTACATAATGCCTCATTAGCAAAAAATCTTGTATCATTTACAAGTAGCCTGAATGTCTGTGTTGTTTTGAACAAAAATCCATATTAAAATTTAAACAATATAAAAACGCACCATTTTCTGCTTATTAAAAAGACCATCTTAAATTAAATATAAAGCAGTAACCAGTGAACACATGTACAGGAACATTAAAATCAGAATAATTTTACCTTTTATTGACTTTTTTCAGCTCCAAAAATATTTATGCTCTTACCAAATGTGTAATTAGTTTGCACAGTTGTTGTTGTTGTTTGAAGTAAATGATCTGGTGTTTGCCTTATTAATTAAAGTGCCATAATGTGCCGGTAGAGGAAATTTAATTCATAAATGTTTCAGACACTCTGACTTAGCCTCATCTCTATGGATGACAGCCGCCTGTCAAATCCTTAAAGGGACCTTTTGCAACCATGCAATGTGAGAAGCCTCATGCTCTTCTGTGCAGAGAGACATGGGGTTACTTTTTCTAGCACTCCCAAGTTCTTTGCTGTTTTTGCATTTTGAATAATTGCAGACCTACAAAAAAAACTTCTAATAGATTGAACACTTGTACCTTTTACCCCTTTGCATATTTGTGGTAGGTAGGTAAATGGGTAGAGAAATAAAATCTGATGATGACATACATATATCACTTGACCATCTTTACATTAAAAGCGTCTTCTAGGAATAAATGTGTCTTCCTACATAAACCATGGTGCAGTGATCATAGAATCATCTATAGTAGTACATAATCAAATTTCCCAGTTGTCCCAGTAATATCCTTTATATCTAACTGTAGGG